AGGCTACTGTTTTATTTATGACATCCTAGTTTATAGCCCAGGATCAGTTTTGTCATTTCACTTTCTTACATCATCAGCATCAAAAACGATATGGAGAGTCCTAAGTGTTATCTTACACATTGCTTTTATTGAGATTCATTTGTGATTTCAATGGAATTTTGTACTCTGCTGTAGCTGCTTTGGTTTTGGAATGTCTGTGTTAACATTCAGTCATGAATATGGAGTGATATAATACGAAAACTTCACGTGATGAAAGATTCTCAGGGGTTGAAGGTTTTTGCTGGTCATGATCCATTCATGGCTACTCTTCTCCCAGTGGTCGTGTCATCAGCTTGCAGCAGAAGTTCTAGAATGAATACTTGGTTTATCTTTACTGAGGGATATTCCTCAGGTGTGTCCCACTGTTTTTTGAATCTTCTCCAATTTTTCTCTAGTTAAGCTGGGAATTAATATGTTTTATATCTACCTTCTAGTAGTGTGAACTATGTGAACAAGAATTTTAATTTCTTCCTGTTTATTTCCTCTATGTCTTGTAAAGTTTAGAGACATCTATATCTTCAGAAGATTGACAAGTTTTCTTTGTTCTCCTTCCAGCAATCATGTTATTTATCTTAGCGCCTTCTCCCTGGTTTTGGGCATTTTTCCATGTCACTACAGGTATACATTATGGAATTACGATGCCACCTCCCTGCTGATTCTTGTTGAAAACTGCTTTCCTGAGTAATTCTTTGTACAGGATGGACCTACCATTGTTCAGTTGTCCTCTGTGCCAGAACACCACCTTGTGGAAAAGGAAAGCAGAGCTTTATCTCAGAAGGATTGAAAAGACCTGAACCTCCAGATCCTTCTCTCTTTTGTGTTTTTCAGTTACTTTTGAGAAGCTCTGGGTAATTGTAGGAATGACCTTCATGGAATAAAAATCAGAAGGCTAAAAGAACCTCAGCACCTTAAGTAGAAGTAGTGAAGTAGTGACAGAGCTTAAAAAGTGTGTTTATTTAATCTTTTTACATTTATTGTTACATTAGGGAGATTATACTGCTTTAATTAAAAGTTACTAGGGTTTTCTGTAATGAACCTAAATTTGCAGCTATTTATAGCTGAGAGAAAATGTTTCCATACAGAAATTTGGCATTCAATGTCTCAAGCTAAATGGTTTGGTTTTCCTTTTTCTATTTCTTTTAAAAATACTCTTTGGCTGCATTCTGTTTTGAGAGAGGCAATTTTTTTGTGGTTTTATATGCTTTTTGTGCTCCCTTGGCAAGGCTTGATACATGGAAAAACAAATTTTCCAGGCTTTTAGCCTTTTATGTCAGCTATTTCCTTTTTGATATTTAAAACATGATACTTTGGTGGTCATTACTTTTTAACAGAGACCCTGTATTATTCAATAAGCAGTCTCCCCTAAGTATTTGCCATTACTGCTTTTCATATATTGTTACATAAAAATCGTTCATATAGTTCAATCTAGTAAATATTTTTTCTGAAACAAAATTGTATACCTGACAAGTTTAGCGGTACTAAAGTTGGTACTTTTGTATTTCTGCAAAGTTCACCATTTCTCATTCATTTAAAATATGAAAACTTGTTTGCATTTTTCTGTTTATCTATTTTCTAATTATTATCTGCAGGGCATTTAATGCCATACTTAAAGATGCTGAAATGCTCTAAGTTGGTCTCGTTGGTTCTGAAAATCATTCCTTTTACCCAAGGGTGTGGTGTACATTTGAAATGCTCCAGTCAGAGTTTGGGGAAATGAGTCCTTCAATTTATGAAGCCCAAGTCCTGGTTGAGATCTGATGCCATCCAGGTAGTAAACAGAGAAGTGTTTAAACTCTGCCTAAGTTCTTACAGACTTCAGTGTGTTCTGTGCACTTGAAGCTTGACTAGTGAGTGCAGATGGCATTGAGCCTGGTACAGAATATGACCCATGGCTCAGGTGAATTCTTTAGATGTTATTTAAGTAATGTCCTGCAAGCGTGGCACTGTGATTAGAAAACTTCCTAGAAATTGGAGCCTCCTTTTTCTTCCCAATAGCTTTGCCAAGTACATATTTCTTTCTCTCTTGGAAGAATGTCCCAACAGCTAGTTACTGAGTATTCATTCACAGGATGGGTGAGATTCCATTACTCCTTGGATTCAACTTGGGCCACAGCACAGAAAAATGCTAGAGTCACTTTAGCAGAAGATGGTACCCATACTCTAAATATATATTATTCCAATTTGTTTCTGTGTTCTATCCAGCAGAAAGGGACTTCAAAGTGTATAAATAGTATACAGGGACCTGAAACTAAGTATTCTGCCTGTCTTTGACTTGCTTGTTGTCCAAGCTTCAGCAATGCAGCATAAGAGAAATTATTAGTTATGCTGGGGAGAAGGATGATCAGAACAGAATGTGTGAGGTGAATAAGGAACTGGCTGAGGAGGAAATAGGAGATAATGTTGAAAGCAGATTTATTAGACTGGAAAGATATTGCTGATGGAATTCCTCTTTCTTCTTAACATCTTTCTTCTATAGCACTACTCTAATTTTTTTGGAGATAATACATGTTAGTACTAAAATAAGGTAATGATAGTCCAAAAGTTTTCACAGGAAAGTATGAAGGTACTAATATCTGCAGATAATCGTAGGACAGGAGACATTTTCAGTACAACACTGGATGCCATACAGGAGAGACTGAGTGACATTGAAGATAGGAGCGATCAATGTACCAGAAATAAAATGAGATGAAATATGATGCAAAGCAAGACTCCTCTGGACTCAGAGCCAAGAAGTTTACTCTTAAGCTGTTAGTTCATCAGCTTGAAGAGTGTACAGATTTGTTTATAGTACTGCCTTGAGTTTCCAGTATGTGGGAGTCATTCCCTATGTGGTTCTCAGTGTTGTTCTCACTCCATGAACAATGAATTCAAGTTGAGATTGACTAGTGAACAGGAAGGTTGTAGAGAAAATCAGGGGCTGAGAGGCCTGGACTGTGGTTCAAAGAGATTGTACATCTGTAATATCACAGATAGAAAATAAAAACCAATACTTGAATGCCTTTCTGTAATATCCCTTCCAAACTTCTGACCCCTATGAACTCCAAGGGCTGTGGACATCACCTGATGGGGCTGTGTGAACTGATCTGAAAAGACAAGTACAGCTCTTGATTTCCACAAATTTTTGCCACAGTAGGCACTAAATAGGATTTACAAGATTTGGCCTAGAAAATGAACGCTTTTGCTCTCAAAGTTTTATGGACATTTTTCATGCTCTAAATTATGCTTTGGTTCACATAATCTATTTTAGCTCTCTTTTTATTTTCCAGTCACAGCTTCACTCATAACACAGCTGTGGCATTTGTCTTGCAACAAGAAGGATCTGATAATCATGAAATAACCCAGATTTATGCCTATAGTGCTGAAGCAGTGCCATATTTGTGAAAATAACTTAAGAGGAACAATATGCAGCAGATGTGAAGGTTTTACCTTCACATTTAAGTAGGTTTATACTGTCAGTGAGTGTGGGCTTAGCAGGGCCTGACAGAGTTTCAACTTACCAGATGTTCCATGTGATCAAATAGATGCTATACAGCTGTTTCCTATTCTTTTTACTGGGCTCAGATAAATACACAGTAAATGGTCTGAAATATATTTATTGTATTTTGGCAAGTCCTGCAGAGAACTGCCCACAGGCACCAAGAATGCAGGGAGAAACCAAGGGTGCTCATTGGCATGCTCATTTTCCATTACTGAGGAGAAATTAGCAGCTGTTTGGTTTAAACAGCTCCGGTGATACTACTCAGGGAGGAATAAAATATGGGGTTTTCCTTTGTTTGTGGATGTTCTGAGATTAGTGGCTGTATTTACAGAACATCTCCATTCTGGGGGAGCTGTTACTCCCATGGGCAGGAGCTGTCCCCCTGTGCTGACAGTGTCACCCTTCCAGTGGTGTTAAACTCCCGGGAGAAGTGGTGGGGACTGGAGCAGCTGTCCTGCAGGTAGCTCATGCTAGTCCCAGCTCAGGCTTTCAGCACTGGAATGGAGAACTGGTTTCGCTTCTGTCCTTAGTGCAATACAGAAAACAGGGTATTTCCAGAGCTCCTGGCAGAGCTGCCTGTATCTCTCCTGTCCACTCCTGAGCGTGGACAGCATGCCCCAAATTAGCCTTGGGGTGTGTTTTTAAGGGCACACAGTTTTTGGTTCAATCCAGCCAACTGCTCTGAACTGCTCCAGGACTCATAGGCCCAGTTTACATTAGCTGCCACACATGTCAACTTGATTCAATCACAGAGCAGCTAAATAATAAAAAAGGAAGTTTCATTTCCCTTCACCTGCTTTCCTGTTCTCATTTCTCCTTCGTCCCCCTCCAGTTCCCCATGCTCTCCTTAGCCCTTTGACCTTACTGCTGCCTTCCTTCCCTCCTGTCCCTGTCAGCTTCCTGCCTTTCCAAAGCTGCTCTTACATTTGAAAAATTCTCCTTCTTATCTACTAGAGGCTTTCCTTTTGCCTTTAAATCCTTTTTTAAAACCTTCATCTTCAGTCAGAGAAATAATTTTCATTTTTCATTAATAATCTCTTTAACATTTCTTGACTGCTATGTTCTTTTCCGATTTATAGCCAGGTCTTGCAAACATTTAGAGAGAAGTACCTGTTAAGTTAAATTGAGAACATTCAGTTATAAGTTTGGAGGGCTGGATTGTTCATTGGAAAGATTTTTGAAAGATTTTGAAATGGAAATATTTCTCACTGTAAAACTCAATGTTCATTTATGGACATTTTTAATAAACTTTTGTGACCTCAAAGGAGCAGTGGAACATTCACTAACTTCTGGTTTTAACTTTTATTCCTTAGGTCAAGGTGTGGAACATGTTCTCACAGATTTTTAAATGTGCTGAGCAAACTTAATGTTGACAATATGACTTTATACCCAGAATCATATGAAAGGACAAGTACAAGCTGTATCTTTTGATCTTTTTGTTGATCTTAATTGTTTTATTTTTCAGTATTGATTTTTATTTCAGGAACCTCAAGCATCTGGACTGCCTGAGTACATAAAGATTGTAGAAGTTGGGCCAAGGGATGGATTACAAAATGAGAAGGTAACTTTTCTCTTTTTTTTGTGTGTGTGTGCTTTGACATGGGTGTTAGTGTTATTTTCATTGAGTAGAACATGTACATCCTGCTAATTATGTTTCTTTCATTTTGTATTATTAAATATATCTATTTTCATATTGATAACTTACCTTTATATTAGAATGAAAGTGGATTCCTATTTACTCAGCTTTTATATCATATAATTTCTTTCTATACTTGGCTAACTAGCCTTTCTGTTACTCAGCATTTCATTTTACTGGAATTTGTCTTGTCAGTCAATAACATTCTGTAATGACATTATTGGCAAACACTATGAAACACTGACTATCTTTGTAACTTTTGTTTCTGCTTCAAGTGTTAATGCAGAAGGAATAGTAAAATAAGTTTTTTCATGTTTCCTGATGAAGAGACATGGGAGAAAAATATTACTCTTTTGATAGCATTATTTGCCTGAAGGGTGGTAGGGAAGCATAGAAGAAGATTGAAAGAGATTATATGGTACACGTTTAGAAACAGTCATCTACTTCCACAAACAGAAGGATAAGCTCACATGTGTCATTGTTACTGATACCAGAGATGTTAGTGGTATTAGCACAACAGAGTTACTCTGCCACAGCCATGAAGCTTTTTTCCTCCCATTTTTCACTGGTCACACTGTTAGTATTTCCTTTGTCAGTTCTTGCTAGTTTGGTGTTTGATTAATAACAAATAATGAGGCCAGATCTATAACCAGTTACACAGAAGTGCTTCCTTTTGTGATGGATAGAAAATGGAGTATGATCATGTATACTGCCTAGTACCTTCCTTATACCTTCCGTGTACTTCCTGCTGTCAGGAAACAGAAGAGTTATGGTAAAATGTGTAAGAGTAGTTCATTATTTTATAAAAGAGTATTGCTTATATACAGGGAACATTTCACTTTAAAAAGTTTCTTATGTATAAAATACTTTGCTAAAGTATGTCTCCATATCTATAGGTGATAGTCCCAACTGATATAAAAATTGAGTTAATCAACCAGCTTTCCAAAACAGGCCTGCCTGCAATAGAAGTGACCAGTTTTGTTTCATCCAAATGGGTGCCTCAGGTATGTAAAATCAGCTCTATTCATAACTATTTAAATTTAAATGTCATTCTATTTATTTATGTAGCATTCAATTTGTAATGGTGACACATCATTAATATAATATAATGTTGTTCCTACTTCTTTTCTACTTTACTAAAACTAGTAGTCATTGATGTAAAAAAGAAAACTAGTATATGTTATTTTCTTTTTCTCTAAATGCAATTTAATTTTCCACATTTGCAAATGTGTTTGGAAGATCTAAATTTGGGACTTCTGTATATGTAGTAGTAGTTAGGCACATTACTTATTTTGGAGTTCTAACACTCTATCAGGAACTTCACTTAAATTTTGATGAATCATAAAAATTTGCTTATTATTTTTCCAGAATTAATTTTTACATTTGGTAGAATTCAGCAGAAACCTAGCCTTTCTGGAACTGGCATCAAAACTGCATTGGCATTAGAGTGCCACATTTCCATTTGAGATTTAACGCTGCAAATTCAGGCTTACTATTAGCACCTCTTTGTGCAAATTAATTATTTCCTGCAAACATGGAAATAAGTCAGTACTTGTCTGTATAATTTAAACTATTTTTCAAGAAATTGCACACTTGTTTGCATAGAAGCATTTGAATGCTTTATATGTGACAGGGAGCATAAAAGTTATTTACAAATAACAAGTTATTTACAAATATTCACAAATTTACATTAATTAACAAGAAGTTAATGAATTTGAGAAAATACTTCAGTTTTAACTATGTCTATTGCATGTTGCACATCTGACAAAATGTACATAAAGTTTGTCCATTTTAAACTGAGAATACATCCTGGGCCTGGACTGTATTCTAGGCTTTTCTCTGAGAAAAACATAGTACAGCCATGCTTATTCAAGAGTTAACAAAGCAAATTGTACAGTACTCTGAGGGACTCCTTTGCTTTATTTCAGTGTTCTCAGGGTCACCAGAGAAGAGTCTAGAAGAAGGGTAATAGGGTAGGTGAAGAGAAGAGTGACAATGCAGAATTTCTTTGGCATCAGTGCAGGGGCAATGGTCTCTTGTCTGCTAAAAGGGAATAGGTTAAGTTTTTCTAAGTGCCATCACACTTTGTCAGTTACTACAACAGGGAATAATATTGTCAAATGTTAGAAGAAAATGTCTAAAGCAAAAGTGTATTTCTTCCTTTCTTGTTTAATTATTTCCTTTTCCTGTCAGCCATTGTGAGTACCAAATTTAGCACAAGTTTGTCAGTTTAGAAAAAATGAGTAATCCCTTCTTATCTCAAATTCATTCACTGAATACTTTGTTTTAATGGCTTAATTAGTGGTTTTTTTATTTAAAAGATATGATTGTGTTGCTTTGACAGTGCAGTCTTGACTTTGTCTTTGCTTCTTTCTCTTTTTCATAGGTCATGGGAATAGAATTTACAGTTATCTTTAGATCACTCATTCACTTATTTCTGTTTCAGTATGTTAAATTTTTTATGGTTTCCCATCCAATGTTGTTTTTGGCAAAGATATTTTTTTACTGAAAAATCTAAAAGAAAAATTTCCACAGTAGCAAGGTGCCATATAAAACAGGATCCCACACCTATAACATAAACTGCCAAAAATTATAAATATCTACTATTAGGAAGCTTATTTTTAAAGAAATTGGGAAAAGAAGTATTTTATTACAATTTAAAATCTTACAACATGCAGTATGTGCAAAGATGGGATTTTACTTACAGGAAAAATAGCAATGGGACAGATTTAATATTTATAATATTATTTGGATCTGGCAGGTTTATACTGGTTGAAAAAGTGTCATTTTGGTTTTCCAGTATATTTTAAGACAGGCTATAATTGTGGAGAGTAAATTTAGTTCCAACATTTGCCATTTAATTTATCATTTGTTTTCAGACATTCTTTTTTGCCCTGAGAAATGTAGCTACTAATATTAAATTAAGGAATGAAAAATTGTTCTTAAATAACTAAGGTGTTGACAGAGGTTTTTTGTGAGGTTATCAGACCAATTTACTTCACATAGAAGCAAATACAAAAAGTTTTGTTTTATCACTTAATTCCTGATAAGAAGAGAGTTGTGTCTGGCTATAGAATACCTTTTGTACCATATATCCACTTCCTTATAGATACATATTGGGCTTATATTTGAAGAGGAGTACATAGTTTTTTCTGATATTTTTAATCCATTCATTTTCACAGAAGGAAGCTGGTGACAGGAAGATTCCAGGCTACAAGCAGTATTCTTAGTTAATAGTGTGGTATAATTTAATACCATGTATTTAGAATTGTGGTACTGCATAGCTATCAAGAAGGCACCTGCTGAAAGTAAGGAGTAATGAAAGCTCTGTAGTTCATATATCTTTTTACATGATACTTCTCAAAATACTTTTCACCAGTGTGGAAAGAAACAGAAATCCAACTTAATAGTGTTTGCTTGAGAGATTTGCTTTTATGAGAACTCATTTAAAAAGCATTTAATGTGCACTATTCTTTTTTTAAAACTCAGAATCTTTAAGACATTAAATAAGAGGGATATGTTTTATTTTGTGTTGTTTTCAGGTGTGCACACCATTGAAAAATACTTGTTTTCAACCCACATATTTTAAGAAAATGTGTTTCTCTAAAGAATCTGCCTTTTATGAAGTGAATAAGTGTTTCATTCATCTTCTTCATCAGTATAGGGAGTATATTTAATCTTGAATGTCTGAGTAAAAATGTAAGAGTATCTTAAAAAGGCAGCTTTTCTTTTGTGAGGGGAGAGTAAGGAAAAAAAGTACTCTGATCTTTGCTATAATAAAGAAGTTTCAGAAAGAAACTTGTGAATATATTAAAACATTCCACTATGCAGACATCTGGATTTTGCTGTCTCTTTAAGAATAGATGTGTTTAGTCTTGAAATGTTCTGATTACAGTGTTGAGTAATTCAAGTTCAGTTATGCTTAACATTGTGAAGTTGCATTTATCAGAGTGCTGAAGTTTTCAAGATTTCTATGTTTCTTAAATCTCAGTTATTCTGTTAATTCCACCTATTAAGGCCAGTGAAGCAAAGTTCAAGTTGCTGTAACACTTCATGAACAGCATGATTATAAGTCTGTCAGTTTATGATGCAAATTATATTTTTACACATACACACAAAGGAACACTGTTGAAGTCTTAGCCCCAGTTCTGTATTCACATAGATCTAAAATTACAACACAAATAGTCATAAGTTAAGAAATTACAAAAGAGTATTTGTACAAAATCAGTTTAACCCCCTTGTTGTTAGACTTTTCATATGAACTGTAATAGTAATGAAGGCAAAAACACAGTCTAAAACAATTTCTATTTAGCTATATAAAATTAGAAAATAACTGCTGATCAATACAAATTATTTATTTATTTATTTTAGATGGCTGATCACAAAGAAGTAATGAGGGGCATTGATCGGCATCCTGGAGTCCAGTATCCTGTTCTCACTCCTAATCTTCAAGGTTTTCATTCTGCTGTAAGTGCTTTTATAGGTGCTGTCCACATTTACCTCTTTTATGTTTCAGACACTTTCAGTTCAGTACCAGAACCTAGCTATTTAATGTCAGAAATAAGATACAGTTTTTTCACTGAAAACTCCCAATTTTCTTTATGAAAAATGGGGAATTCACAGAGTGATGTTAAGCTCATATTTTAGTGGAGCCATTGACCAGGAACTTTGTAAATTCCTTGTATATAAAGGGCAAGACAGTTCTTTCTCTTTGACTTGTTGGCCCTAGAAAAGTTTCTGAAGAGGGTCTTGGTGGAAAACACTGAAGAACAATGAGGAAAGATTCATTTAAATGAAAAAGCTTTATAGCAATTCTGGATTTCATTTTGGTTGGTTTGAAAGTTTAAATTATTTCAGTTCTTCCAAAATAGTCAAAATTATAGACTTGAAGTGTGTAAAGGAGTGAAAATGGAACGGTTCAGTCTTCTTAAAATATACACATTGTTAGTCTAATCTTTGCACTTCTTTTGTTTTTTGAAAATTTTTAGTGCTTCTGCTTTTGTCCTGATGGAGGACAGGCTGTATTTGGAAAGCATACTGCTTGATGGGCATTTGTGGTCTAGTCTGTCATTCAGTTCCTATACTGAAATACCTGTTAAAACAGAATCCTGTGCATAGTTGACTTAGCTGTCAACAGTCCGATTATAGTGCTGTAAATTTGTCTCAATGGTAGCTTGTATGAGTTTAACTAATAGTGTTTTATCTCTATGCTGTATTTAGTGATATAATGAAGGGAAAACAATGAAAAAATATTTGTAGATGATTTCTACATTCTTCCTTGCTGATGGTTTTTTCCCTCTGTTTGAAAGAATATTTGTCCCTGTATGCGTTGCTGAATTTTAGACATTATCCTGCAGAAGCAGAGAGTAAAGGCAAAAGCTCCATACTTTTCTATTGAACAAGAGTATTATTCTGACTGGAGAGTTAGTTAACTATTCTAACTATTAAGCTAAAATGTTTTCTTCTCCTATCCGCTGCCTTTCAGCCTTCTAGTTTGCCTCATGTTAGTTGATTTACTGAGGTATGGAATACAAGCTCAGGCTAGTTGCCCCTTCAGTGAAGTCACCATATTTACAAATTTTCTAGACTGGTGTTTGCTAAGATTTCTCTCAGCAGACTCTCATGTACACATTTTCCATATTATCCTTGTCGACTGTGGCACCAAGACCAATGGAGCCCTTGATTCTAGAGTTGGCTCTAACAAAGAAATCCCTGCTGGTTATTGTTGCTGCTCTAGGCATATGCACACAGAAAGCTTTCCCAAGCATGAGAGAGACTTTGGTATTCAGGAGGAACAGACAGTGTGACAGTTGTTGTATGATCCTTTCATTTTCTGAAAAAATATATACAAGTATTAATAACTGATTTTGTATAGCTGGTTCATGTGAATTCCTACATCTTATTCCTTTTATCATTCATCACTTTAAACACATGTTTAACTAATTGCTAAGAAGAGGCAGAAAATATGCCATAGTGAATGATCTCAATATTTGATTCAATCTATCTGTATGTTATAGCTTAAAAAAATTTGAATTAAAGTTATATTTTAGATATGGATGATATACTTAATGTACTTTAAAATTTTAGAATGTTGTACAGAATTAAATGCTCAATCTAATACTTTAATATAGTATTATGATTCTTGAAATGTTTTTTTCAGATTGCAGCAGGAGCTACAGAAGTCTCGGTATTTGGCGCAGCATCTGAATCTTTTAGCAAAATGAATATTAATTGTTCAATTGAAGAAAGCATAGAAAGGTTTGAAGAAGTCACTAAATCTGCAAGGAATATGAATATTCCAGTGCGTGGGTAAATATACAGATTCTAAAGTAATACAGAGATACTGAAGTCATTGTTACAGGGGTTATTTGGTTCCAGTGGAAAGGTTTATTACCACATTTTTACATTCTAGATGAATTGTAATAATAATCTTTACTTTAGGATTACTTTAGGATAACTTGAATATATTTAGTTATTTTTGCATTTTTAACTGCTGATGGTAACTTTTGCTGTGGAAATTGAAAAAATAAAGGAGTATTTATGAGAGTCTATTATAAAATTAATTTGTACTGTCACAGATGGCAGAATAAAATTTCATTTGTGCTGTTGAGAATTTGTAACACTAGCACCTTAAAAAATGCCCTACAAATTTTTATTTTATTGTAGAATTCATAATATATCACTATATACATTGCAGCATTAAAGTATGAAAGTGAGAAAAATTTACTCCTAAGAAAAAACTTACTCTGTATATAAGTTATCCTGAAAACCCAAGCATTGAAATTTTTGAGTCTCCGTTGCATGAAACTCAAGAATTACCCAGCATTTATTTTTCAACTTAAAATTGTCCTGAATGGTACTCACTGTTGAACAGTATAGATTTTCATTTCCATTTTCTTTGCAGCACAGGTAAGAGCTACTTACCTAAGATTATTTGTGAAGGTTCTTGTGAATGCAGAAGGGCTCACATAGATTCAAGGAGAAACTCAGCAGTGGGATTCCCTGAGGATTATTAGTAGTGTAAACTACATCATGCTCAAAAATTACCTGGACTTGAAAATAGGTAGAAGTATATACTTCAGAGACTAAGTATGTGGAAACCAGTCTGGGAATAAATACTGGTTTCTCTCTTTGCTCCAGAAATAGTGATGAATTGATGCTACTGCACACGTTTTTTCACAACAGTTTGTGGATGTTTGGGCATTTGTTTGGAGAAAGGGAAATCTGACTTCTAGTTATAGCTGTGTTCCAGAGGATCACCGAACAGCAGTATGGTTTAGGTTGAGAGAGAGCTCTGGAGATCATCTTGTCCAACCCAAGGATTTGTGGGTTTTGGTTGGCAAAAAACTCAACCTGAGCCAGCTGTGTGTGCTCCCAGCCCTGAAAGCCAATAGTGTCCTGGCTGCATCAAAAGCAGCACGGCCAGCAGGGCAGGGGAGGGGGTTCTGCCCCTCTACTCTGCTCTGATGAGATGCCACCTAGAGTGCTGCATAGAGTTGTGGTTCCCCAGCATACGAAGGACATGGAACTGTTGGAGCAAGTCCAGCAGAGGCACTGGAGCATGTCACTAACAAGGTCAGGCTGAGAAAGTTGACTCTGTTCACCCTGGGGAAGACAAGGTTTTATGGAGACCTCATAGGGATCAAGGGGAAGCCAGAGAGGGACTCTTCATCAGGAACTGTAATGACAGAACAAGGAGGAAAAGCTTCAAGATGAAAGAGTAGGTTTCAATTAGATACTAGGAAGACATTCTTTACTGTGAGTATCTTGAGGCACTAGCACAGGTTGCCCAGAGAAGATGTGGATGCTGCATCCCTGGAGGTGTTGTTCAAGGCCAGGTTGGATGGAGCTCTGAGCAGCCTGATCTATTGCAAGGAGGTGTCCCTGCCCATTTCAGAGGTGTTGGAACTAGGTGATCTTAAAGGTCCCTTTCGACCCAAACCATATTGTGTTTCTATGATTTTCAAATGCACACATGGGCCAACCAAAGATAGCTCATAAATGCTCAGATTCCTTTTCCTTAGCCTGGGTATATTTCAGGAGAAAAATCACCAAATAGAGAAGTAGGGATGTTCACTTTATTAAAGAATAGTAACTTGTACCAGAGTTTAAATACTTTTTCCAGTTGCTAATCTGCCAGTAGAGTCATGATTTGCCTCCCTTAGCCACTTTTCATATAAAAGGTCTGTTATTTAAAAGCTGGCTGCCACCAATGTTCATCACATTTTATCTAAAACTAAATTCTGAGCTGAGAACATAACTAGCAATTTGAATTCTCCAGGAAGATTAACCTCAGGGATGCCTGAACTTTAGGTCCCCAGACAAGTGTGGTTAAGGGAACTCAGACAAAACAGCAAGTGTATAACAACAAATCTTATCCACTTGTGAACACTTTTACACTAAACTTCTGTTTTCTGTTTTTTTTCAGATGTCTAGGCATGTCAGGAGATATTTTCTGTTTTATATACCTGTGTTTAACTAAAAAAATTCAACTAAATGCTACAATATAAGCAAAAGACCATCCTCAAAGCCTATGTATTGTATAAGTTTTTGGATAATTATGGAGGATGTCAAAAAAGGGACTTTGCAACTTGTCTATAAGATGTAAATTGTAGGTGATGAAGGAGCCCCTGTGGTATACTGTAGATTGATTTTCTGCTTAAAATATTAACTTATCTTCTGTGCACTAGTTTTCATACATTTAAAAAAGTGGCAGCATGGTGCTTTCCCCTCCCGTCCCCAGATTATGTCTATTGCATTTGTAACATACCAGAAGCAATTATTATGGCACCAATACACTGATGTGATGGAAGTAACTGTTCCCATGACAGGATTCTATAACATTCCCAAACATTTATTATCTACTATCTGAAAAACCATGTGGCTTTTATTTTTCTTCACTCAGAAAAAGAAAGAAAATAAAAGGAAAAAAAAAAGAAGAGAGAGGAGGCAGAAAAGCTAAAACAGAACAACACAGAAAAAAAAAGGTAATAATTTAAAGAACAAAAACAAGGCAAAGAGATAAAAGGGAGGAATATCAAGAACCAGGTGGTGAAGCAAACAGAACAGTACAGAGATGAAGAAAAAGGGTATAATTGAACTGAGGGAAAATACAATCAGATTATATTTTGAAGGTGCTTACTTTGTGTATCCAGTAGAGATATCTCTAATTTCAGTGCAATATGCAAACATAAGATAAACTTCATACAGTATATGCAGGAAAATTTTATTGAGTCTGTCATGCCAGGTGCAGTATGTTACAGAATACTTCAACAGAGAAATGCTTAATATCAGATATGCTGCAAAGTGAGCAGATTCAAAGTTGTGAATGAAAATCATGTAAGTGCACTCCAGCTTTCTTCCTTAGGCTTACAGGAAAAGTGAATTATTCAGAGTCAAATAGCCATTAACAGAATAATTTAATTTTGGTGATTATTTGTGGTGATGCCTTTCCCTGGTCTTAGAAAATTGAGAGCCATAGTTAGACATAGTTAAGGGATAAGGGGTTTTACCTTGGTATTTTAATAAGGATCCTTCCTTATTGGTGCACCACTTCACCAAGGTGGAATGTGCCACAATGCACACACACAATAAATCCGTGTATAGTTTTATAGACTTTGCAAACTAGCATATCTAACAAGGATGTCCCAATGGGAGGCTTGGATGAATGTTGTGATATTCCCCCATTCGTGAAATTCCCCCCTGGATGGACAAATCTTTAGTTTACAGGATGTGTTCTAGAGAGTTACTAGGTTTGGGATCTTGGTTTCCCAAGATAGCATGGGGTTTTCTGGCCTCCTACTATGAGGCCTTTAGGATGTTTGGTCTCCTGGCCTAACAAAATACTAGGGCTATGATAAATTATTAGATTCAAGGAATTACAAGTATGCATGCCAAGAATACTGAGTGTACATTAAAGTTGTATAAAAGGTACATAAAAGAAAAGGCAGAAAATCATTTGGCATCAGTGGGATTGTAATGATGTAAAGGATCTAGATAGAGAAGATACATATATTGAAAAGAAGCTACATTTATGTGAATGTTTCGTGTATCTTCATCACATTGTATTAGTTTGCATATTAATTTGTCCAGTAAAAAATAGAAGTTGAGGCATAAGAGGTAAGATGATGGACTAATGACACACTTCGACAAATCCAAAAGTTGAAGAGAGAATTGCTGGTATTTTTCCAGGTCATCTACTATAACTCAATTAAAAAGTAGACAATCTACTAAAAAACCTGCTGAGAATCTAAACTGCAGAATATGGAGCCTTATTTCATAGCAAAAAGCCTTTTCTGAGGCAATAAGTCTCAGTATCCACTAAATATGAATTTCAGTATAAGTATTGGAAAGAAGGTTTTGAGCACTATATGTTAGCAGATAAAAGAGAACTGGTTAACCCCATACATTTGGATTTTAAAAAATCCATCCTGGCAGGATTTTGAGGAGTCAAAGTAGTAATTAATGAGAAATAAAATAGTACTATGGATCAGACTCTAGACAAATATGTTTTAAAGAGAATATTTGCAAAGTATTGTGATACTGTGACTTGTGTCCCTTCCTATTCATACTCATTCAGATGCAGTCCTCATGGGTTGCAGTTACAAGAGCCTATGGAAAGCATTGAGACAGAATGATTGCTCAGAAGCAATAATCAAAAGGGATTGTTTAGTGTCCATTTACTTCACTACTTTCTTTAAAGCTCCAGTGGATTTTCTTGAGTAGAATTCTGAAGACCAGAAAAAAACAGCAGAAGCCTGAATATGGAAATAGAGGATTCACAAGGACTTTTTTTTTTAATAGTAGATCTCCCAGCAGTTGAAAAAAAGGTCTAAAAGGTGGACTTAAAACTTTCAATTAGTAAAAAAATTTAAAAATGCCCTTAAAGAAGAATCATCAGTTTTGAGTACCCAATCCAGGAAGCAAGTAAATCTGTTTACAACATTTCAGGTGCTTGTGAGGAGGGAGGTTATGGAAGCAGTCTGACATTTCAGACTTAATTCTAGAAAATTAAACTATGATTTTCTCTGGTAGAAAAGCCTGCACTACTATAGGGAATTGATTAGTACTTGTGAGAAAGTAGTTCATTAGTTCCCAAATATTGCAGTACATTTGGAAGACTTCTGAAGTTTTTAATTGTATTTAATGAGATAAAACTCTGTGTTTCTCTTCCTCAATGAAAAGAATTAAAAGATAATCAGAACATAAAAGTTAAACAGATTTCACAGAAATATTCAGTGCAATCCAGGTGACTTTTACTTGGAAATGAATCAGAAAAGAATTAGCTATTAAACTCTGTGATTTTTGAT